GTAGCTCTGAAAACTTTGTCAGTTCTAGTATTGTACACATGCAAGGATGGAAATTCTTCCCTTGTGTGAGAAAGGTGTCTATGACAAATAGTTCTCTAACCTCGAGGGTTCTGGGATATTGCATTACTAATCTGGAACTCAATAACACTAAGTACCATACAGTGATGTTAGACTGTCTGTGATGCCGGACCTCTGTAGTGATACTATTCTTGGACATGACTTCCTACAGCAGCACTCAGCGGTTCAAATTCCGTTTGGAGGCTCCAAGCCAGCCCCAAGGGTGTGTGAGCTTGCCGTTGTTAAAGTCCCATTTCCATCATTGTTTGACTACCTGACACCTGACTGCAAGCCAATTGCAGTGAAATTGAGGCATTATTCACATGACAACAAGAAGTTTATTGATTCTGAAGTGTCTAGAATGCCGAAGGAGAGCATCATCGAGCCAAGTCAGTCTTTGTGGTGTGCTCGGGCAATGGTGGTCTTGTCCGAAGGCCACAAACAGAGAATGGTGATAGATTATTCACAGACAATTAATCGTTTCACCTTGTTAGATGCGTATCCACTACTACGGATCGATGACATGGTAAGGGAGATCGCTAGATATCAAGTGTTTAGTACGCTAGATCTACGCAGTGTATATCATCAAGAGGCTATCAAACAGGATGATAGACCATACACTGCGTTCGAGGCTCGTGGACGTCTTTACCAATTCTGTAGAATACCTTTTGGTGTTACTAATGGCGTTGCCAATTTCCAACGCATAATTGATGAGATTGTGACAAAGAAGCTATATGGCACTTTCGCATACATAGACAACGTGACAGCGTGTGGTCACAATAAGGCAGAACATGATGCCAACCTTAAACATTTTTTAGATGTGGTCAAAAGGTATAACCTAATGCTGAATGATGACAAATGCAACTACTCTCTGACGTCTGTTGACTTGCTTGGTTACACAATTAGTCATGACACAATCAAGCCTGACCAGGAACGCTTGAGTCCCCTTCTTGACCTTCCTGTACCACACGACACACACTAACTTCGACATGCTATGGGAATGTTTGCACATTATCCCCAATGGATTACTGGATTTTCCGAGAAAATTCACCCTTTGGCACAAGCAAAAGGTTTCCCACTGTCACGTTTGAAAATTAAAGCTTTTGAAGGCCTTAAGCATGACATCGCTGGCTCAGCAGTGACTGCTATAGATCCAACAATAACATCCGTTGTGGAAACTGAGGCTTCAGAGTACGCTAAAGCTGCTTCATTGAGTCAGTCTGGTCGACCTGTGGGTTTCTTCTCAAGGACACTCACAGCTTCAGAGCAGAAGCGCTCTTCTATCGAAAAGGAGGCCTACACCATAGTGGATGCATTGAGCAAATAGAGACACTACTTAATTGGGCAGCATTTTCGGTTGATTATGGATCAGAGGTCAGTCGCCTTCATGCTCAACCCCAAAAGTTCGAGCAAAGTAAAGAATGAGAAGATCACTAGATGGCGAATTGACCTATCATGCCTCAGTTATGACATTGTCTATTGTCCTGGCAAAGAAAAAGCCGCCGGGGATGCATTCTCACGCATGTGCAATTCGGTACAGTATCTGCTAGATGATCTGCAGACTTCACAATAATTTATGGCATCCAGGCGTTACAAGGATGATGCACTTTGTACGGAGCAGAAATCTACCATATTCTATCAGTGACATAAAGGCGATGACTGCCACTTGCCCTACATGTCTGGAACCAAAGCCACGATTCTTCAGATCAGACTCTGGTACTCTCATAAAAGCTACTCAGCCTTTTGAAAGGCTGAATGTGGATTTCAAGGGACCTCTTCCTTCTAAAACAAGAAATTTACTTACTATAATTGATGAATATTCGAGGTTCCCAGTCACCTTCCCATGCTTTGATTTGTCAACAAACACTGTGATAAAATGTCTCTGCTCATTATTCTCCATCTTTGGCATGCCAGCCTACTATATTCACTCCGATCGTGGAGCGTCGTTCATGTCAGGCGAACTGAAGCAGTTTTTGCATCAGCGTGGAGTTGCCACTTTTTTGACGACCGCCTACAACCCCCAGGGTAATGGTCAATTGGAGCGCTATAATGGCATCATCTGGAGAACGGTGACACTTGCGCTGAAATCCAGAAATCTACCTACTACTCATTGGGAAGATGTCCGCATGGATGCTCTCCACTGTATTCGATCGCTGCTGTCACCTGCCACTAATACCACTCCGCACAAACGGATGTTTGGCTACCAACGGAGATCGGCCAGTGGGAGGGCAATACCTGCCTGGTTAACGACTCAAAAGACTGTGTGTCTCAAGCGCCAAGTACGTTACAGTAAATATTATCCATTTGTGGAAGAGGTGGAATCACTTGATGTTAATCCGCAATATACGAGCATCAGATTTCCAGATGGAGGGGAAACCACAGTGGCTCTGCGCCATCTCGCACCCAAAGGTATTGAATCAGGGAGAGAGACACTTGAAGACAAGGCCAACAGTGAACGTGTTCCAATACAAAGTTTAGATGAATGTCCTCAATGAACACCCGGTAGCTGAGAGGGACGAGCAGCTGGAAATGGTGGACTACGAGGGAAATCGGCAGCCAGAGGCATCGCCAACTCAGCCCCCTCCCCATCGCTCGTTGCGTTCCAAATATATGCCGTCCTATCTGGACGATTATACACTGTAATTGCATGCCGATGGGTTGTTTTAAAGGCAGGGGTGAATGATGTGTTATGTTTAGTTGGTTACATGCTCTAGATTACAGATGCTCCTCTACTTACGAACGAGTTATGTTCCTGAGGCTTGTTTGTAAGTCTAATTGTTTGTAAGTCCAACTTTACTCTAGTAGATACCAAACATATTGTGAAAAATGAAAAGATTATGGATATTTACTACAGATATACCCTTTAATACAGCCTATCTGGAATTTTCTTCAAAATAATCCTGTCTCATCCACATTAAACACCTGTTCTGGCAGGTAACCCCCCCTCAGTGATGATGTTTGTATCTCTGAAAGTTTGTAAGTTGAACGTTGTTAAGTAGAGGAGTACCTGTATATTGTTTGAAGTTCTCTTATATTTCTTATGTTAGGTTATTATCATTTGTGCTAAGCTAATTCTGTTACTTGAAGCTAAGTCATTCTTAATTTGTAATTCCTGTTTATTCTGTTTATTACAGATCTATGGATACTGATGTTGAATTAAGTTGAATAAAGATTCCCAGTGCTTACCTTAGTTTTCATAACACAGCAAATTTTAGGATTTTAAGTTTAGAGTAGATTAGGTTGAAATTGTGGTTTTTCCAATGATTTTTTATGTGTTCTGAACAATTTCAAAATAAGTGCGTGACTGAAACGATAATTTTACCAAGTACGTTTCTTTGGTTAGGTTGGAGGGGTCTTCTAACATTGCTTCTGTCGCTTGTTTTCTTATCAACTAAGGTTAGGTTTAATTTAGAAATAACCACTTTTTAACACATCTGCCAAAACTATGAGATTTTCTATAAAAATCAAGGTAAAAGGTGTTCAAAACACATAGAAAACCATCGGAAAAACAAGGGTCAATTTATAGTAGTGCACCTTTCTTTCTTTGGGTATAAGAAATGTGTAAAAAATCATAGAAAATCACCAAAAACTTAACCTAATCAGGGGGGTCCAAGGGGTAGAGCCCCCCCTGATTAGGTTAGATAGAACAGTGCACTAATATAAAAAGACCAAACAAAACCCTAACCAACCTAACTAGGAAGCTCCACAGTCATTCGATGTTCTTGGTGTGTCCCGCCATGCAGAAACATACATAAAAAATGTTACCTGGTTATTATATCGCTTTAACATATTTTGTGACAAATGCAATTGAAGAAAAGAATCTTATAATTGCCAAACTACTGACGATATGATTGCATTTCCGCACACAACATTCCTACCCCTAATCTATTATCATATTCGAATAAGACATCTAATTACCGTCGCAAATGTATAATAATGGAGATAGCGTATTCAAAATTTTCTCTATTTTCTTCCATTAATCTTCCGCCATTACCGCCTACCTCACCTCCCACACTGCATGTCTCCATAAATCATCACGGGCATGCATTCTCGTACGCGTCACAAGGCCATTCAAAAGCATTTTTGGGGGGCAACCAATTAAAATTATTTGTGGTTTAATTCGCTGTATTTTTGGCCCAATCAAATTCAATTTTTATTTTGGGTTTCAATTATATAGAGCTGATTGCGAGTTTAAAAAAAAAAGAAAAGAAACTAAAGCATTTTTTCAATCGCATGGTGTTCTCCCGACCTCAGTAAAGTGTCCTAAGTGCAAGAACGAATGTAAATATCGTCAAGACCAACATAAGTGGCATTGCGGTAACTCCAACGACGAACAAGAACCAGGCCAATAAGGTAAGAAATAAGTGATTCCATCATATGGTGAGAGTCAGTTAGGTTAGTTTAAGTTAGGTTAGGTTCGGTTAGGTCAGGTTTATGTTTTTCTAGTGTTTTTTTTGTATTTTGTAGTTGCTTAACAATAATTTTTGTCGGAAAACTCAACACAAAAAAAGGCCAATTTCTGATGGAAATGAATGTCATAACCGATCTAAAAACACAAATACACTAGAAAAACATATTTTTTACTTTCAAACAGAGTTGTGTGCACTTATGCAAATTTACCCTACTGACTGCAGCTATAAAATTCACGAGATTCGTTTAGTGGCAACAAGTGAAAGGTAAATTTTCATCCATAATAAAATGTTAAATACCTCTCTCATACATAATTTGTGCAGGAGATGCCTTTGAAGAAAAGTGATTTAGAATTGTCAAAACTACTGATTGCAACTATAAAATTCCCGAGATGGTGTAGTGGTAACAAGTGAAATATTACTGGAAGAATTCCGTCAGGTGTTAGCCGTCTGCTCCACTATTATCCTCCACGTTTACCTCATGCATTATTTACATAAAGCATAGATCTTCGTACTTTTGTTAAACATATTTACCTCTTCCACTTTCTTAGTTTTCTTGTCATTCTGCTGACACTCAGGCTTATTCTCGGCAACTTTAGCCTGCTTTTCTGCAAACTTGGCTAATTTCGCTGCTTTCTTGGCCTCTTTCTCTAACTGCTTTGCGGTCTTCGGTTTCTCTTTCCCTACTGTTACCGTAGACATTTCTTGGGTAGGTTGATCTGCCATTTTCATTGAAAATTTGTTCCGTAAATGTGAAGTACCTCCAACTTATAACAGCTCCTGGTACACGAGGGTCGAGACTCGAGAGACTGACTTGACATCATAACAAACATTACCACGTTAATGCGGAGACAACATTTATTCAGTTTTTTTATGAATCAATTAAATCATTTTATATATAAAATTATGTTAAAAAATAACATTTGTTAATTATTTAATGTAATTCTATTCCAAAAAGTTATCTTAAATGCTCACTAACACATGTGCGTTGCTGCTCCTTAATAGTACTCTCGATGCAAATGTATCCATCTTCCAAGTGAAGAGATTATTGCGTCAGACAAATACCCTGCACAGGTTTTGTTTTTGTTTTTTGTTTTTTACGGGGATTAGCCCGCCCGGGCACAGGTCACTTTCTTTTTCTCTTCTTTCTTTTTTTTTATACTCTTCACCACTGATCGGCTCGTTAGCCGCTTGGGCGATCGGTCACGTCTGTTACGCACTGTTGGCAAGTATTGGGCATGTAGTGGATTTCTCCCCTACATACGCTGTTTGTCGCTGCGTAGCCGACCCCACGAATTCCCCAGTGTATGCCTCGTGGTCTAGGTCAACCAGCGCCGCCCACGGAGCGGGGGTCAACTACTAAGCCACGCCAAGCCCCGCTATTTAAGACCTGACCTCGTGGTGATCGCTCTCTTTCTACCTACACCAACCAGCCAGCAACACCTCCTCCTCCTCCGCCTGCCTGGCGGTCCTCGCTCCCGCCGGCGAGCATGGCGACCCACAAGCTGTCCTCCTCTGAGCACCCTCACCAACCAGCTCTCTCTACATCACGCCTGTAACCATGCTGCCTTCCCAGCACCAAGCTACATTGTACATCCAATACAACATGTATACAGAGAGCACATTGTGAGTTTCCTTTCTCCAACCCATCCTGAGTGTGAACCAAACATCCCATATCCCACAGGCATGCACCGGCTCCTGAACCTGCTCCAGTCTTGTCTTGAAAGAGCTCACACTCGGTGCCGTCACAACACTTTCTGGTAGGTTGTTCCAAGAGTTCACAACTCTCAATCCGAAAAAGTTTGCCCTCACTTTAATTTTCAATTTCAATTGTTTATTCCTTGATAGAGGAAGCGGGATCCTAGTGCTGTCACTAGGTATCCCTGTACGATAACACCAGAAGCATCTGGCAAGTGTGACAAGTATATACAGGATAAATAAATATTATAAAGGGGCTTACTGAAGCCTAAGGAAGGGAGGATATTCCTTTAACACATAATCAATGTTTTTTACATAATATCTTGCCAGTATGGGGTGGATCATCGTGTCTCCATCAGGGGGTCGTGGAGTGGTGGTCCAGCAGGCGTCACGGAAGTGTTGTGTGTGGGGACATCTTAGGAAATAGTGGATAAGGGTGCGGCTGTCGGGTCTTCTGCATAATGCACAAGAGCGTTGCTCAGGGGATGCGGGGATACCAGTCTCCCAAGCAAAGTCATACCCACCCAATGATGATACAGGCAGCAATCACGTCCCTTTTCCGCGACCCTTTCCCATAGACATACGAGAGGTCAGGAAGTTTACGGAGGACATCATACCAGGTGGGGGGAAGTCCAGGGAGATGGTTGCTTCCCTAGCTTCTCTTTGTGGCGAATTTGGGTCCTAAGCTGTAAAAGTGTTCGAGGAACAACGTAGTCAGGTGTGACCTTGTTGCAGCCAGTCTTGGCAAGGCCATCTGCTGCCTCATTCCCCAAGATACCGACATGACTGGGTATCCATAGGAATGTCACAGGACAGCCTGCATCCTGAAGTGTGGATGTTAACCCTCGTATTCGGAGGATGAGGTCCTTATATTCCCCTGATCCAAATGAGATCCCGTCGAGAGCAGACCTGGAATCGCAGCAGACAAGCAAGGGGCAGAAAACATCTGCTTCTTCCTCAGCGAGAAGGGCAGCAGGGAGGGCTATCAGTTCAGCCTGAGTGGAGGATGCCCCGTCAGAAACTCTGAGAGAAAGTTTGATGGGCTCAGGGGCATCAGGACGGGAGATGGAGACACCAGCCCCGGCCCGACCGGTAGCGGGGTCAACAGAGCCATCAGTGTAGAGGACGACCCTACCTGGGGACCAGTGGGCGATCCTGGAGAGGTGGTATTTGCAGAGAATAACAGGGTTCACGTGGGATTTCAGGAGCGGTCCACCGAGGGCAATTACTTCAGGTTGAAAATCCAGCCAGGGAGAAGGAGACAAACCAACAGCAGGGGTGACAACAATATCAGGCAGGAGGGCGTGTTCCTGAAGGGCTCGGATGAGTGACCCTCGCCACTGTCTTCTAGATGGAGGTCGGCCTCGGACAGTAGGAGTCAAGTTGGCTTGGACATAGGTGCCCCGAGGATCCCGTAGAATGGAAACGGTAGTTTTTAGGTAAAACTCCTGGACACGATCCTGTAAGGGGGAAAGACCAAGTTCGGTATATAGAGAAGTAGAGCGTGTCCACTGAGGAGCCCTAAGGATGATACGAGCAGCTTTCCTCTGGAAAGCTAATGTTGACGAGGGCAGGGGCGGCGTAGTCGACACAGGAACGGACAAAGGACTTGTACATGGTGAGAAGTACAGGGATGGTGGCACCAAGGGAACCCCTGCACATGGTAGAGAGGGGCGTGAGATGCCGAAAGCATATGTCTCGAAGATAGCGGACTTCAGGGATCTGACAACGTGTGCGAGTTACATACACACCCAGGTATTTTGTCTCATTAACCCAGTCCAAGGGCGTTCCTGATAAGAGAAGGGGTGGAGGAACAACACGACCGTGCCACATGGCTTTTGTTTTCGCAGTTGAAAGAAGGAAACCAAGTGAATCACACTCTCTGGAGACCAGATCAAGGGCTTCCTGCATGCTGAGGTAGTCAGGGGCTTGGAGGAGGACATCGTCGGCATATCCTGAGTGAACAACTTCTGTCGGCCACGGGAGTGATGCAATGGAGTGCATGAGAGTGTTAAACAAGGTGGGGCTCAGGACTCCACCTTGAGGGGTGCCGAGGTTCATTTCTTGAACAGGAGATATAGAGCCTTCAACTCGAACCCGGGACTGACGTTCAGTGACAGTGAGGTAAGAGGCGATCCATTGAAGAAGTCTCCGTTTAACCCCTTACCGTGTAAGTTCAGCTAAAATGAGGGCAGGCTTAGCCGTATCAAAGGCTCCCTTGATATCAAGGAAGACGGAGACACTGGCAGTCTGATTGCAATAAAAGGAAGCAATGGAGTGTGCTGTGCTGCGATATTGTATGAAACCATTGAGGGAGTTGTGGAAGCCGCCTATGGTGTGAAGAAGGCGACGATGGAGTATCCTCTCCATCATCTTACAAACAAACGAGGTAAGACTAATGGGTCGATATTTCCCAGGATCTCCCGGCTTATGGATGGGGATAATAGTGGCATTTTTCCAGTTGGACGGGAGAACCCCATGTTCATAAGACATATTGTAGAGAGCAAGCAAGGGGCCGTTAGGAATATTAGTACAGGCGTTGAGGACAGAGTAGGTTATCTGATCATCCCCAGGAGAAGTGTCTTTTCTAGAGCGACGAGCACTGTCAAACTCGAACTGTGTGATGGGATGATCAGTGAGGGCAGGGGAGGTAAGAGCAGCATGAACAACAGGTTCAGACGCATCGATGCAAACCTGCACTGCCTCCTGCAATGGATCTGGAAGTGCCTCAGGGGAGGAAGCTCGTGCCCAGTCCTCCATTAAAGAGCAGGCAAGGGAGGCGGGGTCAGGGTGGGGAGGAGCCCTCCATCGAGTACCCCGTATAGCATTAATCCGATTCCATACATAAGAGGATGATGACTGGAACGATAGAGACCCCGTGAAGGATAGCCAGTCCGCCTCACGTATCCGACGACGCTCCTGAGTTGAAAAGGAGCACCAGTTTTTTAAGTCTTCCCTGTCCTCTGGAGAGCGAGACCTCCGTATGGCAGAGTGGAGATCACGGGTTACCTGCCGGAGATGTCTCATGGCAGGGATACGATACCAGTAGTTGGTGGCACTTCTGGGGTGACGGGGAGGGCGTGGAGGGGTAGCGCGATTGACAGTCATACACCGCCTCAACAAAATCAGCGCTGTAAGAGTCAAGGGACTGGGGGACAACATAGGAATCCGCCCAGGTAGAAAGGTATTGGGTAAAGGAAGGAACAGCATCTTGTCTGAGACGAAGGCGAGGGGATCGATAAGCTGATTTCGGAGCAGAGAAAGAGAGCCTGAGATGGGTAGTAACGGCAAGATGGTCACTATACAGAGCAGGCTAGGTGCAGACGGTAAGATGAAAGGAGGTATGACCGTTCAATAGTAAGCTAACATCAAGGAAACTATGCGGGAGGTGAGTAGGATCATCAGGACAAAGAAAGCGAACATCATCATCCCCATAAAGAAACTGTGAGAGAAGTGATCCGTTAAGGGTACATGGCGTGGGATGATCCGGAGTAAGAGGGGGATGGCAGGCATTAAAGTCGCCAAGAACAATAGTGGGAACCCCATCATGGAGGTCGCGAAGAACCTAGGGGTCCAGAGAATTACTCTTGGAATGAACATTGACTACACGAAGGGTCCGGTCACCAAGAGTAAGGGAGACAGAAAGTAATTCAGACGGGGGTCCTTGTGAGTCAGGTGAAGGGAGATGAACAGATGGAATGGTGTTACGCACAAGGGTGAGGAGGCCATGAGCCTGCCTACGGTACCGAGGCAGGGTGTAAACAGTATAGCCAGAGAGGCGGAGTGGAGTAACATCATCTGTGATGGTTTCCTGAAGTAGAGCAACATCTTCTTAAGGAGAGCACAAACTGGGCGGGGTTTCTCCGGCGAGGTCTAAGTCCCTGGATGTTCCATTGTAAGGAGAGGAGGGAACGGCCTCCGGTGTGAGATGAATAGTCGGTGGGGCTAGACAGGGCTCCAGAGGAGGTACCAAATTCTGTTGAGGATAATGGAGAGGGAGGAGTGGGAGAGCGAGGGATGGTTCCCCCATCTCGGGAGAAGGTAGGAGGCGGGTCTCCAGGGCTTGCAAAGTGCGCCCCTGTTGGGTCAGGGTGTCCAGAATGAGTTGTTGTTGCCTCTGCAATGTCGCA